AAAAAACACACACTAAAGACAAGCTCGAGCCATACCCTCATTGTTCTCCATTTCTGGGCCCTCTGCCTAAATGCCTCTTCCACCACTCTGCCCCTGGCAGGCTCCTACTCAACCTTTCACAGCTTGGCTGCATGTCAGCTGCCCTAAGAGGCTGTCCCCACCCTCTTCAGAAAGAGGAAAGCACTGCTTCCCCCACGCCCACAAATGAGCTCATGGCACTCCGTGGCAAATATTCCTAGATATGTCTCTCCCAATCTATGACCCTCAATGCTACACTCCCAGAGCCAACCTCAGGACTTAGAGGAGAGTAGGCCCTCACCGTCAACGGATGGATGGATGGGTGGATGGATGGATGGATGGATGGAAGGAAGGAAGGAAAGAGGGAAGGAAGGAACAAAGGAATGAAGCGGAAAAAAAGAAAACGGAAGGAAGAATGAACAAACAAGCAAAGATCAAGGACACAGAAAGCCATGTTAATGAATAAGCATCAAGACCAAACAAGAGGCAAACGGACTAGTTCTTGTCAGCAATCAAAAAGTTACCACTAGAAAAATACTTTCAGTAGAGGTGGTTGTGAAGGTCTGACAGAGAATCCAGTATTTCTCCCAGGAGAGCTGCTTGTTCTAAAAGGAACACTCACACACCAGGCAACCTCTCAATCTACAGGACACTGTATACCAGTAAAAAAAAACTACACTTACAAAAATATCAAGGAAGATGTTTTTTTCATCCTACAGGAATAATAATTATAGAAAAAAAAGAAAAAGAAAAAACCCTATGCATTAAAAATAAATTAGAAGGCCCGACAAGGTAGATCTTCCACAGGTCTGATCTCTACCATCTGGAGGTTCTTACAGGGCTCTAGAGACATGTTCTGCATCACCTGACTAGCTCATCTGGAAGGGCTGGCTGCTTAGAAAGCTGGCTCCAACCCCAAAAGTCTTCTTCATCTAATTATTCAACAGCAGCCCAAGCTTAGACCTGGAAAGCTACGGTTCTCATGTTGGCCTTGAAGGAGGCTGTTTCAATAATAGTTCAGGGATTAGGTAATAGGACCAAAGGTAGACTGTTCATTATGGGAAAACAAAGGCTCAATTAGGAAAGAGGCTTTTATAAAAATACAAGAACTTGTAGCTGCCTGGATATGGGAAATGACAGAGGGAGGAGCTAAAGGTTTCTGAACTGGAGAGTTGACAGAGAGAGACACTGAGACACCATAACAAAGGAAGAAGCTCTACAGAGAAGCAGATCAGAGGAGGAGAATGTAGCTTCAGTGGGAAACATGATGTTCACTTTAAGATGACTATCCAGTGATCCACGCCAAGCGACCGCACCACAAGCAACTGTAAACATATGAAAGAACTCATCTAAGATCAGGGATGCCCACGTCACCAGGGATGACAGACAACAGGCAATGGGGTGAGGAGGGCTATTTTACAGCAGGGGTAAAAATCATCAAGAAGATGGAAATATGTCACACAGGCATAGTAAGCGGTCAGGACTTCAAAAGAGGAGTGTTCGCCTGATTGAGTAATGGTGACAGAAAAATGGACCTAAAGTGGCAGCGCAGAACACTCTGCTGACCTCTTCTCCACCTTATGAATCAGTGGGCATTTGCCTAGAAGTCACAAGTGCAACTGAAATGCTTGACTTGATTTCCTACAGATTTCAATGTGACTATGCAATAATTAGAGCTCAATAACCACATTTGCATAGCACTTTACCATTTGCAAAGCATTTTTAAATACATTATCTCATCTGAGCTCCACAACATACCCATGAGGTAAGTATTTATAATCTCCACCTTCTGGATGAGGAAACAGGGAAGAAAAATGTTGTGACTTGCAAAAAGGCATCATAAGCAGGAAGTTGGGAGGTAAGGCCAGGATGGATCACTTACTCTCAGGCTAAACTGACTCTGCACTACCAATTTCCCTCTGAGGAAGGGACTGTGATGTGAGCTGTCCTCACTCACTCCCATGTACAGGCATTTTCTCTTTCATAATGCCCCAAACTAAGCTATTTATTCATACATACACTCACCTATTTTCCTCTAAGGTTTAGGATATTACAAATTACCTCTACTCCTCGTGAAAAGAGTTATGAAGTAGAAAGAAGAGGTGAGAAAGCAAGTAACAGGGGCTGATTAAGAACATAAGCTGATTAAGAATATAACCACCAAGAGAAAACTGGAACTCCCCTTACCCTCTCTACCCTTCTCTATCAATTTACTACAAAGTCACTGAGTGGGGCTGAAAGAAGCAAGCAACAGTACTAGGGGAAGGTGAGAGGCAGCACAAGGAGTATCAGAGCCCATCCGCAGTAAAAAGGGTGTCAGAGCACAAGCAGAATGAGGAAGGTATCTGTATAGGAGGATGGTGGCATGGGGTATCAGTGCCAGAGAAACAAAGAGCATGAGTATGGTCAAAATGAGAGTGGTCTGACATGAGATAGCACAGTTTGAGCAAAGTGAGAGCACCCACCAAGGCAGACAGCTCAGCTCAGAGTTGCAGAGACTGAGAAGAGCAAGACAGGCATCCCTGCAGGGGATGGCCCAGCCTGGGTTGTCAGGACTACAGCCCAAGGAGATGGACAGGTGCATGAAAGGGCAGCCTGGCATGGAGTATCAAAACCAAAGGGAGGTAAGGTGGCCCTGCCTGTTGCCAAAGCACACACAAGGTGAGAGAGGGAGGTGTGTGTGCAGGAGGATGGCCCCATGCAGTTTTAGAAGAACATGTGCAGAATGCACTGGAATCCAGTAAGGACAAGCAGGCATCCGTGTAAAAACACAGCAAGATGCAAGAGCACAGGAGTTCCAGAAACATCAAGGTTTGATAAGGAATAGAAAATTGACACTCCCCCAAAAAAACTCTCACAAAATACATCCTAAGGGAAAAAATTAACTTTACAGTGTGGAAACTCAGCAGACACCACCTTAACAAATTGATCAAAGTTAACATCACCAATAATGGGACAAATGAAAGTCAGGTGCCACATGACAGGACACATGGAGAGGAAACCAGCATCACTTTCAAAGATATTCCTGCCAAAGATGCAAAACTTGAACCTACTCGTGAGAGACATCAGACAGACACAAGTTAGAGAACAAACATTCAAATTACTGGACTATACCCCCTCAAAAATGCCAAAGATAAAAAGCCAAGAAAAAAGACAAAAACTAGTCCAGATTAAGGGAGTCTTCAAGACATCTGAAAAGTCCGTGCAAGATGGGAATACAAAATTGGTCCCCCTACTGTAAATACAGGGCACCACAGGAATAACGTGAAAGCGGCGGCCCGCAGACCAGGTGGCAGTGCCGTGCAGCTGTTAATGCCCCATGTTTAATGGCTATATTGGGGTTGTGTAAGAGAATAACTTTGCAGACACTAAAGAAATTTGGGAATGATGAGGCATTGAGTAATGGCTTCCCAGCAAATGGCTGAAAGAAGAGATTTTCGGTATTGCTCTTGTAACTTTACTATAAACACCATTTTTTTAAGTGTTATTTTTGAAACGAGATTAGAGAAGTAGGCTGCTCAGCAATATAAGGAGATATAGCTAATACCAAAAAAAAACAAAAAACAAAAAGAACAAAACAAAAATAAACCTCTAAGAGAATGTAAAGCACTATAAAATAAGAAGCATGACTCTATCTGCAAGGACATATTTTTTTTCCCTGACAGGAAAACAAGGATCAGTTTTATGGAAACAGCGTCAGTGGCAGGACCAATAAAGCTACTGACAAAGTGGTTTTTTTTTTTTAATGTTTAAAGGAATATTTATTTTAAAAAGTCAAAAGAGAAAAAAAAGAATATTCACATGTATGATTTTCATAAGTCTTTCCCTATATACAGAGAAATAAAATAAGTGAAGTTGATTCAGGGCCAAGTAATTAATATCTCCAGTTCCTTTAGTATTGTATTAGATAACATTCAGACTTTAACATTTTACTATTCACATACTACCTCATTTCCAACTAAAAAAGAGTAATCTAGCTTCCTTCATAGTATTTTTAAATATCCATAATACATTCAAGATATATTCAGGATAAAAACAGTCATAAACTAGGGGAAAATAGTATTTTCCTCAAACACAAAAAGAGCATCTACCAAAAATCCTACAGCTGACATCATACCTAACAGTGAAAGACTGAATTCTTTCTCCCTAAGATCAAGGATCCAGAAAAGATGTCTAATCTTACCTCTCATATTCAACATAATACAGGAAGGTCTAGAAGACATGGTGAAGCAAAAGAAGAAATAAAACAAATATCAATCAGAAAGAGGGAAAAAAAAACTCTGCAGATAATATGATTCTCTATGTAGAAAATTCCAGTTATTTGCAAAAAACAAACTCCTAGCAATAAGTGAATTCTGCAAGGTTGCAGAATATAAGATCAACAAACAAAAGTCAATTGCATTTGTATATACCAACCACCTATAAGTGAAATCAAAATCAAAAAAGCAATACCGGGCAGCCTGGGTGGCTCAGCGGTTTAGCACCGCCTTCAGCCCAGGTCGTGATCCTTGGAGACCCGGGATCGAGTCCCACGCCGGCTCCCTGCATGGAGCCTGCTTCTCCCTCTGCCTGTGTCTCTGCCTCTCTCTCTCGCTCAATCCTTTCTGTGTGTTCTCATGAATAAATAAATAAAATCTTAAAAAAAAAAAAGCAATACCACTTACAATTGCCCCAAGAACATGAAAAACTTAGGTATAAACCTAACAAAATATGTACTGGATCTGTAGGCTAAAATTATAAAATTTTGTTGAAAGAAATGAAAGAACAACATCACTGGAGAGACTTATCATGTTACTGGATTGGAAAAAGTCATAAAGATGTTAATTCTTCCCCAAACTAATCTATAAGATTTAACACAATTCCTATCAAAATTCCAGAAAGGTTTCTGGCACACATAGGTAAACTTATTCCAAAATTTATATGGCAAGGGAAACTCCCTAAAATAGCCAAAAGGAAAAATCAAGTGGAAGGAATCTGCCTACCTGATTTCAAGATGACTTCTATCACTATGGTAGTCAACACTTTGTGACCTGGGGAGATGCTTCCTGGGAACAGAAACAGGAATAGTGAACTAGCAAACTAGGAATTTAATCCACTGCCAGAATGGAAGTCTTCACACACAGTATGGTGTGTTCATGGACCAGTTTCTAGCGATGAGTTTCTAATTCACCTGTTTTCTAAGTGGGAGGATTTGTCACAATTACCTTGTTCCTTTATCTGGATGTACTAGATGCACAGATTTTCTCTTTTGGCTTTAGGGTCACCAAAGAGCAAGAAGATACTATCAGACCTGATGGAGAAACAAACAAGTTGGACTCAGAGGGAAATGCAGTATCTTCTCCCTTGGAAAAGTGGTGACTGTATCCTTATAAAATGTATTCATATGAGAAAGGCTGTATTTGGATTTTGGCCAGCCAGAGTGGTAGATTTTGTAAATACTGTTGGTTAGCAAACCCAGAACCCTATTTCCAAACTGTTTCTCCCTTCCCCCAACTCCACCAGAGGCTGGAAAAGTTAACCCCCATTTTCACGGCTAACCCCCTTCCTTCCGTCCAGTTAGGCGTGGCCATGTGAAACAGGTGGTCCCTAACACTTACGGGGAAGTCTGCTGTGCTGCAAGGCTTCCAGGAAGACTTTCAGCTTCCCAGAAAAATGAAGAGATGTTCTAGGAAAGCTTTTGGTTTCCTGGTCAAATGAAGAGATGCTGCTGTCAATCCATGCTCCTTTACAGTGCCTCAAACAGAAAGGTAATGCCTCCAGCAGGAGCAACCACCTTGTGACCATGAAGGTGGCCCAGAGAATTTAAAGACCAGCAGCCTTAACACTGCAAAGCTGCTAACACAATGTCAGCATATACTGACCTCCAAACTTTTTTCATGAGAAAAATAAGCCCTCATTAGTTTAATCCACTATTGATTACATGTTCTGTTCCATACAATGAAAAGCAACCCTATGTCTACTGCAGCATTATTTACAATAGCCAAACTACAGAAGCAGCCCAAGTGTCCAAACACAGACAAATGGATAAGATGTGTATGTGTGTGTGTGTACCTAGAAGGTATTATGCCAAGTGAAATAGGTCAGAGAAAGACAAATACTGTATGATTTCATTTATATGTGGAATCTAAAAAACAAAACTAACAAAAAGCAGAAACATACCCATAAGTAGAGAACAAACTGATGGTTATCACAGGGGTGGATGGTGGGAGATGGGCAAAATGGGTACAGGGAAGTGGGAGATGCAAGCTTCCAGATATGGATGGAGTAAGTCACAGGAATAAAAGGTACAACATAGATGCATACCATGGGTCAATGATAATAAAATATCGTTGTATGGTGACAGATGGGGGCTCCACATCCTCAACCCCCACCTCCATACAAAGTAACTGCAGCAAAGAAAACATTGACCCTAAATCTGACTTGAATGGTTGGGGGTAGCATCACATAATGTATGGAGAAGTCAAATCACTATGTTGTACACCTGAAACTAATATAACAACCTGTGCCAACTACAATAAAGAAAGAAAAGCGGGACTCCTGGGTGGCTCCGCAGTTGGGCATCTGTCTTTGACTCAGTGTGATCCCAGCGTCACAGGATTGAGTCCCATATCGGGCTTCCTGCATGGAGCCTGCTTCTCCCTCTGCCTATGTCTCTGCCTCTCTCTCTCTATCTCTCATGAATAAATAAAATCTTTAAAAAAGAAAAAAGAAAAGCATTCCTAATATATTATGAGGGTCTTACGTTACCTCATAATAGATTAAAATATGAATAATGATTTACTATTACATGAACACTAATGTCTAATACTACTGTACCTAATATTTCTAGAGCCTTTTAGAGTACTTTCATATTAATTTGATAATATGTGTTATAATATATAATCTCATGTATTATTTCACATAGCCTCTCAGGACCTCACTTCTTTTCTCTCATTCAACATGTATTTTTAAGTGGCTACTACATGTTAAGCACTCTTCTAGAATCCAAGAAAACAGAAAGTGATCAAGATTTAGTCAAGACCTCCACTTCCTTCCAGCTGACTTTCCAGCAGGAAACATATTTGCAACATGAAAAAGGCATGAAATGCTCTGTTCTCACACCAATATGTAATAGGCAATGAACCTCGGTTTGGTGTATAACATAGGCAGGGCGGGGGAATAATACCGGAAGGGTGCTTCTGAATGAGACCACTCTAACTCAGTCTAGGAAGGGGGGGGAAGAGTAATACCTGTGAATTTAAAAGTTAAATAATTACAAAGTAAAAGAAGTATGGGAAAGAAGCATACTCAATCCACATCCTCAACCCCCACCTCCATACAAAGTAACTGCAGCAAAGAAAACATTGATCCTAAATCTGACTTGAATGGTTGGGGGTAGCAGAACATAATTAAGGCAGGTCTCAGAGACATGGCTATTGTTTTAAGCTCAAAGCAGAAAGAAGTCTGATAATATGCTTAAATAGGTCAAAGGGGTAGGGAGTCCTCCAATTACAATTTTATAGAAGCTGATTTTTTTTTTTAAGGTAACAGTCCACATTTTCTTCTATTTCAAAATCTTCATTACAGCAAAATCTGTTTGTGCTGAGCTATACCCAGAAGCAATTCGTTGACTCTACATGCCTTACTTCTACTTAATGCCACAGGGAAAATAGATCTAAATATTACAAATCACTTAAGAGGGTTAAAATACACAGAACGCATTTGAACCAAATATGTCTAAAGGCTTATTAAACTGTACCTTATAGCAATATATTGACTTTTTACACACTACCTATATAACTAGACTCAGAAAATCCTAATTTTCAGGAATTTATCATAAGCCACAAAGACATTCAAAACTTTTCAATTAATTTAGAGAATTTCACCTATTTCCCTGGTGAGAACTGTGGGAAGGAAACATAGCCCAATACACACACGTCTGGAATTCTTGTTCACTAAGGAATGCAGAAATGGTTAAACAGGGGCGCCTTGGTGGCTCAGCTGGTTAACTGTCTGCCTTTGGCTCAGATCATGATCTCAGAGCCCTGGGATCCAGCCCCATGTCAGACTCCCTGCTCAGTGGGAAGCCTGCTTCCCCTTTTCCTACTACCTCTCCCCTTGCTCGTGTGCATGCTTTCCCAAATAAATGAAAGCTTAAAAAAAAAAGTTAGACACATATGAACTGAACATTTTAACTTAATTCACCAATAAATTTTTCTCTAATAGACTTTATTTATGTTTGATAGATAAGAGAACCCAAATATTCAAAAGTAGTTAGCTAAAATAGAACAGAATATTTAACTATTTCTAGATTACAGTTAGAAAAAATTACTAGTCTCATCTTGATTTAGTCTTGCAAAAGGCTATACTTTCCCCAATAGAAATAGCATCATTTTTCCTAGGAATTAACTATCTGTAAGATCTTTATCCAGAATGCTTCAGTTGTATCTTTTTGCAACCAGAGCAAAAACAAATATTGTCTTTTTGTATTAAGTATGTTAAGTATTCTGGGAAATCATGTTACTACTCAGAAACAGAGGGAGAGAGGAAGTGAGAATATTTTATAAACCATAATCATAGGATCTATGCCAAAAAACATAGGAACATGAGACAAAATTTCATTCCAACAGAACCATTATTATAAAAAAACTTTCTAGTCCATAGTCTAATACCACTGTTGATGTGAGTATAATAAACTCAATTAAACAAACAAAAAAATTGGCTTCCATACACTCTGTAGCAAAGTATGGCATACTGTAGTATGAAATACAAAAGCCTATGTAAAAAATGTTAGTACTAAGTAATCTTATAATTTGGAATACTTCTCAAATTTTTGTCTCATTTTTTCACACAGTACTTCCTTCACTTGCAGAAATTGATGCCTATAAATTAATTCTAGCCCTCAGATCTAATCTGTGAGATCATAGCCCAGTTGTATGAGTTTGTGGGACTCAGAGTGGCAGTGAGGTGTTAGGAGCATGGAAGTAAAGAGAAGCAGGGATCCAACTACATCCAAGACAGGATTTCTGTATTGTATATGCAAGATTGAGCAGTAACTGGACACCCTACTATCTATCTGCCTAGCTTGCTCCTGAGTCAGAGCTAACAAAAAGCATCTTTGGGAAGGAGGAAAGTCTTAGCAAAAACAGATAAATGAAAACTTATGAGTTCTTCTACTGAGTTGCTGCTGATGACGATGAACAGTCTGTGCAGGACAGTAGGAGCTGCCTCTGTGGATGTCAGCTCTAAACACTCCTACAAAATAGTCTCTGCCAAGAGCTGACCGCCAGCTCCTCATCTCAGTAGTCACTCCTTAGTAGTACCAAATACCTATTTCATAAACTGAAAACAAACCCCTTAAATTAGGTAGTAAACTCTCCAAACTACAAAGATCTCATCTCAAGAAAAGAATTCCACAACAGGCAGCATGTAAAAGGTTCTGCGGTCTCTCAAAGAAAGCGCATTAAGTAGTCAATATTCCTTAAATATATACATAATCCTGACTACCATTTATTAAGCATGTTCCTTTGTGCCAGCCTGTAAGAACTTTATTTGCATAAATTAATTCAATCCTACAACAATTCCATGCGGCAGGTTATCTCAATTTTACGGATAAGGATCCTGAGCTTAATAACTTGACCAAAGTTACACATTACCAAATGGCAAAACAGGAATTTGACTTTGACAGTCTGGCTATAGACTCTTCAACCATATTTTTTTTTCCAAGTATTTATTTAAATTCCAGTTAGTTAACACACAGTATAACATTAGTTTCAGGTGTATAATTCAGTGATTCAATATTTACATACAACATCCAGTGCTCATCACCCATTTAACCCCTCCCCCTCAAGTACCTCCCCTCTGGTGATCATCAGTGTTTTCCCTAGAGTTAAGAGTCTGTTTCCTGGTTTCTTTCTCTTTTTATTCCCCCCATGTTCATCTGTTTTGTTCCTTAAATTCCACACAGGAGTGAAATCATATGGTATTTTTCTTTCTCTGATTGACTTATTTGGCTTAGCATACTACTCTCTAGCTCCAGCCACATCACTGCAAATGGCAAGATTTC